GGGTCTTGAGCAGAGCAAACTCTAACTTGATCTTGAGTTCCAAGAGTCTTGTGGTGAGAAAATATTGATGAAATGAGAGGGCAAATTTTGGGGTACAACAGTTGCCCCTGTTAAATCTTCTTGAACCTGAAGAGTTAGATTGGCAGGTTTGCCTTTCGCGACTCGAAGGTAAAAGAGGATTGGACACTAGAGTGCCCGTAAATTTGCACTCGTCAAACAATAGGTGTGGGAATGGGCTTAAAGATGCCATTTGGAGATGGTAGAATCTTGCTGGAGATGGGCTTAAAGATGCCATCCAAGAGTCCTCGTCGAATTGCAATGTGATAGGTCAGAAGAATGAGGATCAAAATGGTATCCGTGTCGGGAATGCATTTGAATTGTATCTGGAGACTGAGTTTGTATGAGCAAAAGAATGGCCTCCATGTCTGGGGCGCATCTGAGCTGTAACTGTGCTTGAAAGTAGAATGAATATCAGAATGGCTGCCGTGTCTGGAGTGTATCAGTATTGTATCTGGTTAACAGAGAAATATCTGTGCATGGAGCAACTATGTGCTGGGATTAAATTCTGAATGAGGGACAAAATGGCAACCGTGTCTGGAGCATATCTGGACCGTATCTTGGAGTTGAGGTCTGTATGAGTAGCAGGATGACTTCCGTGTTTGGAGTGTCTCTGAAACTGTAACTGGGATCTGAATAAGTGACATAATGGAAACCGTGATTGGAGCATATCTGGACTGTATCTTGGAATTTGAGATCTGTATGAGTAGCAGGATGACTTCCGTGTCTGGAGTGTATCTGAAACTGTAACTGGGATCTGAATAGTTGACAGAATGGCAACCGTGTCTAGAGCATATCTTGACCGTATCTTGGAGTTGAGATCTGTATGAGAAGCAGAATGATTTCCGTGTCTGGAGTGTATCTGACACTGTAACTGGGATATGAATAGGTGACAGAATGGCAACCGTGTCTGGAGCATATATGGACCGTATTTGGAGTTTAGATCTGTATGAGTAGCAGAATGACTTCCGTGTCTGGAGTGTATCTCAAACTGTAACTAGGATCTGAATAGGTGACAGAATGGCAACCGTGTCTGGAGCATATCTGGACCGTATCTGGAGTTTAGATCTGTATGAGTAGCAAAATGACTTCCGTGTCTGGAGTGTATCTGAAACTGTAACTAGGATCTAAATAGGTGACAGAATGGAAACCGTGTCTGGAGCATATCTGGACCGTATCTGGAGTTTAGATCTGTATGAGTAGCAGAATGACTTCCGTGTCTGGAGTGTATCTGAAACTGTAACTAGGATCTGAATAGGTGACAGAATGGCAACCGTGTCTGGAGCATATCTGGACCGTATCTGGAGTTTAGATCTGTATGAGTAGCAGAATGATTTCCGTGTCTAGAATGTATCTGAAACTGTAACTAGGATCTGAATAGTTGATAGAATGGCAACCGTGTCTGGAGCATATCTAGACCGTATCTGGAGTTTAGATTTGTATGAGTAGCAGAATGACTTCCGTGTCTGGAGTGTATCTGAAACTGTAACTAGGATCTGAATAGGTGACAGAATGGCAACCGTGTCTGGAGCATATCTGGACCGTATCTTGGAGTTTAGATCTATATGAGTAGCAGAATGACTTCCGTGTTTGGAGTGTATCTGAAACTGTAACTGGGATCTGAATAAGTGACAGAATGGCAACCGTGTCTGGAGCATATCTGGACCATATCTGTAGTTTAGATCTGTATGAGTAGCAGAATGACTTCCGTGTATCTGGAGTATATCTGAAACTGTAACTGGGATCTGAATAGGTGACAGAATGGCAACCGTGTCTGGAGCATACCTGGACCGTATCTTCCAACAGGTGATGAAGGAATTTTTGATGTTAATCGTAACTTCCAGCAGGTGATGAAGGAATCTTTGATGTTGATCGTAACTTCCAGCAGGTGATGAAGGAATTTTTGAATGACCTTGGACTTGTAATTTTGCTTTGGAGAATAAATCCTTGACAAATGTTGGGGAAATAAACCCATGACCACTGGTCTGCTAGAGAGGTGATGAACTTTTCGAGGACTCTTGAATTTCTTTTCAGAAATATTTCGGAGAGGTTTCATCACTGCCCTTAGTATTAGATGCTTGTGATATTGCCAGGACACTTGGACTGTACGTAACCCTTTGATGAGATTGATGTTTAAATGCCCCAAGTGATGGAGGGGGAGACTTGCCCCCTGTTAACTGAACTTTTGAAATATTTGTTGAAATCTTGACTTGACTGCCCCAGGTTAACTGAACTTTGAAAGATTTGTTGAAATCTTGACTGGACTGCCCCATGTTTACTGGACAATACCATATAAAATCCCTTTTTGTTGATAGGAGATTTTTGCAACGGGAGTACACTACAAGAAAAATGATAGATTGGGACGGTTATTTTGGCTGATTACGACGGTTAAAACCGTCGCAATTTACAATCTACGACGGTAGAAGTACCGTCGCAGAATCGTGCGTCCCCAGCCTATTTCGCGACGGTTGCAAAAACTGTCACGCACAACAGATAGCGACGGTTATATACCGTCGTGAATTTGACTTTATTTTTTGTTTTTGTTGTTGTTTGCGACGGTTATTCTACCGCCGTAGGTTAGAAATTGCGGCGGTTTTAACCGTCGTAATCTGATTTATAAATTTCAAATAATATTTTTATTTAAATTATTATTTAGTAAAATAATTTTAAATATAATATTATTTTACTATAATATTTTACTATTATATTTAAATTATTATTTACTTTAATATTTTTTTATTTATAGTATTTTATTTTATTTTCTATCACTTTTACTATTATATTTAAATTATTATTTACTTTAAAATTTCACATATAGTATTTTTATTTATAGTATTTGTCATAGATATTAGGATTTTAAGCAACTGATTTTTCAGGGACACTTTCATTATTTTCAACGAAAGTACATTGTGAATGATCCAATCCAATATCTTTCACCTTCATTTCAGAGTTTTTCTCCACTGTGTTCTCCAACAACATTTCATTAGGGAAATTGTTCCTATAAAACTCAACCTTCGCTTCCAAGTCTTCTATCTCCTTCTCCTTCTCAGCAAGAAGGTCGTTAGCATTTTGCAAAGCTTCCATTTCATATTCTGATTGCTCATCCATCATCCTTAAGTGCTGCAAGGCTTCCATATGTAATGTTGCCTTTTCTTCCTGCAGTCTAGTGATCATGGCTAAAGCTTGACTTGCAGCAATTGCAGAAGCATTTCTTTCTTCCTCCAGCTCTTTATACAAAGCATTCATAAGTTTCCTGTCATGATCAACTTGTCTTTTAAGCTTGTCAACCGGACTTTCACCTTCAATTTCACCGACAATGCTTCCATCCAGAGACAAACCAGACTCATTCCGCTCAAGCGAAATCATTTTTTGAAGTATTTGCATTCCAGTTGAGTTGGAAACATCAGAACTCTTTGCTTCTTCGCTATTTATAGACAACCTAGGACTGATATCATTAAAAGACATATCAGTCCCACGAGTGGCAGAGAATTGTGACATTAATATCTTCAAATCTTCATTAACTCTTGATGAATCTTTCCAGAGCCAATGTTCTGCAAGCATGCCAGACAACTGTCTTCCTCTATTACCGACAGCTAGCTTATAAGCATCCCCAAGATCAAGTGAATTCAGATTTTGTTGACCAATATCACTAGAAACAAGGCTTGATTCTAAACCTCCTTCAGATGCTATTAGCTTATTGCCTGAATTAATATGTTCTTCACTGTCCACAGTGGGTCCTTGCTCAGATGTTAATCCCTCTTCATCGTTTCTAAAATCATCTGTACGAGAAACAATAGCATTATGATTATATTTCAACTAAAAAATGCAGAAAAGGTTTGGTTAAATCAGTATAAAACTAATGCACTTATGGACTCGAAATAGTAAAATTTAAAATGTTCAGCTATATAAAAGGCCCTAGGCATTTTTCGCCCTACATCTATAAAATATGATTTGGGCATCAAAAACTAGATTATTTAATTTCATCAACTTTCTGCGATGAATTATAACACAGACCTCTATCTTCAAATCCAAGCATCAAAGAAATGCAATCACAAAAAAATAACTTACCATTTTCCTTTGATACTTCGACAGGCACTCCGATTTTACTCGATAATGTAGGAACATCATTGAAGGGAGTAGCCTCACTCGGGGAGGGACAAACAGCACTTCTTTCAATCTTCTGCCATTTAAGTTCTGTCAAACCGTTCCCACTTTCCACTGCTGCTGCTGCTGCTACAGTTTTGATACCATCAACATGTATATTTTCTACTAGAGGTTCAACATTAGACTTAACCTTTAACAATCCTTCCTTTAACAATTCAAAAGCTAACTATTTATGCCAGCACATTAAATAAGAAAATATAAAAATCAGAAGGAATCAAGTCTGTAAGAGGAAAGGATTAAAATACATTTCCTTGACAGCTTATGACAACTTACCATAACCACCTACAACTGAACTCAGCTAACTCTTTCTTAGGAGTGATAACGGAAATTCCTAAACTAACCCTAACAAGCTTCAACTAACTTTATAACTGTTTCTCACTCTCAGATTTATTCTTCACCTCTGATTCCTAACTGACGCTCACAATCTAATGCCCTAAAGGAATCTCTTATAACTGACTCAAAATTGCATCAACTATATATAGCTTCCTCTCATCTCAGATCATGCTCTCTCACCATTTCCCAAATTTTCACATGCATCATTTTCACCTTCATTCTAAAACTTCATGTTCATCCTCATCATCCTCTCATCTACATTATCTTCATCCTCACTCCAAACCTCTCCTTGCATCATTCTCTCTACTCTCTAAAAATCATAACACCAACACATTACTGCTTCATCACTAAACATCAACGTAACACAAAACAACATCAAGACGCATAATAATAAAAGTGTTTTGTTGTAGAATCTCTGCATAACAAATATGCATGTAGAAACTTCACTATAAGACATATTTGGCTGGCTGCAAATAGAACTTATTTCTGCAAACAATGAACACACGGCAACACAGATGAAACAATCACATTTCCACGCATAATGAAGTTGCTCAACAAAAATTGAAAGAAATAATGTTACCTCAACAAAAGGGCGGAGTGGCTCAGGAAAATAACATGCAATAACAGCAACAGCTGCTTCTCTATATGCCAATCTCAGTCTCAGTTCTTCAGGAATTTCTGTAGTGTCCTCTTGCCCTGTTTCAAATGTTCCTTTTTGCTGCAAATCCATAAGTTTCATTAGATGGTGTAAAAATGCATTAAACATATCATAAGAAATTGCTGAGTCAGAAAGAAGCTGAGAAATCACAAACCCTTTTTAATGCCTCAAGCAACTCGTCACGCCCAATATAATCCAAATCCTTCCTGGCCGTTAAAATTCCAGCTTCGTTCCTGTCATTTATTCGTGATCTGTCAGTCTATATTCTGATGATGGATTGATGCAGAAACTTCTATCAAAGATTATTTACAGTATATTCTGCAGCTCTGCCCCAGTAAAAGTTTAATAACTTGGGTGAAAGCAATATAAAGCAAAAACTGTTCATATGCATCAATAACTAACACAATAAGGGTTTTTGCTTCTGAATTGAATCATAGAAAAAAGAAACATAACCTGTTTGATAGCACTGGAAACAGAGAGAGTGGTGCTTTGATTGAGGCATTCAACACCAATCCAATCTATGAAGCCTAAGAGATCAACCTAATCAAGAGTATATGAACTAGGTTAGAACTTGTGTACCCTAAATCAAATAAGATAAACTTGACGATGATCATAATAGTGAATGATAGAGTTTGAATCTTACTTGACCCTTGTGATTAGCGGTGGCGGATTCTCCAGACATTGCTGCTGATTTGTGCGACACGGAATACCTTCTTTGTGCGACTTCAAAGAGAGATCTTCCCCTTTGCTTAGCAATCGAAGGAGGCCAGTACGAAGACCTCTAGAGGACATTTGATGCTTTCGATTGGATATCTCAGATCTGACACGTAGTCGTCTTTATGTACAAAGGAGTTTGTGATTCTGAAAAGAAAAGGAAATTGCGGTAGAATTTGAGAATCTTAGCGCGTGAATTGAAAGAACGAACGATCATAAATCTGAGCGGCGTCGGTTCTTAAACCGTCGTGGGATATGATATGTTCCAGGCAAAGGGACGGTGAAAGGAACCGTCGTGGAATATGCTATAATTCTATTTTTTATTGAATATATATTAACATTACTATTATATTATTTAAATACTACTAATATTAATATAGTTACTATTATATTATATAACTACTATTAATATAATTAATAGTTAGTAAGTAATATTATAATACTAATATTATAATTAATTAATTACTATTATTATATTTAATTAATAAAAGTGAAAAGATGGAAAAATAAAACAAATGGAAAAAGTGAGAAAATAAAATAATAACAAAATAATAATTATGATTGGTCAAAGTAGTCGCGACAATCTGTTATACTGGTCGCGAGTGTGGAAAGAGGGCAGTTTTTTGGCAACTGTCTCAATTATGTTACTCAATATGCTTAAAAATCTACGACGGTTGGCTCTAACTGTCGTGACAACTGTCGCAGTCCAAGAATAAGGACAGATTTATGGGAACCGTCGCAACTCATGTGTCGTAAAACTCATTTTTTCTTGTAGTGGTACTATCCCACTTGAAGTGATTTTACTCATCGAGAGAGCTTTCGTTCCTCCGAACATTCACTGTATGAATTTCTTCGTTGTTAAACAAGTAAACCATGTGCAAACAATGATATTCAAATAATGCAAAGTTTTATGCTTGTCTCGAAGTTTTGAAAAATGCGTTTTTTAGCAGAAAACTTTTTATAAGACAAATTCAACACAAGATTTGGAGCAAAGCCTTACAGGAGTCAGGATACCTTTTGTAACAGTATGCTTTCGAACCAACCCATGCTTCAATTAGGACTTTTGAAGGGTTGTAACGTGGCTGGGTTCACGGTTTAAGAAACAAAGGATAAAGGCTCAAAGTATATTTGTACCCACCCGCTCTTCGTGATGTTCTTCAATCCTAAACTCAATTAATTGTGCGTTTGAACTCCAAATGAGTCTGGAACAACGTTTTGGTGATGGTTCACACAAGTTGGATTTTGGAAGGCAGTCATCATCTCCCTTTTTTTTGCAACATTTTTCATGTTGTTGAGGATTTGTAATGACCTTGTTCTTTTGATTTATCATCCCTAACTTTTGCCTGACGGTTCCTGCTTTCGAGGTTACAGTCAGCGGGATGCCCCAGATTTCTTAAGCCTCCTTTGTAGGTTTTGGATCGGTGGGCTTTTCTCTTTTGAGAGGTAATGACTGCCTATGAGATAAGGAACCATCACTATCTTTTGATTCCAGAGGAATGCTTTTGAGGTCGTTCGTTGTATTACAAACTGAGAGTTTTGCGACTTCAGTGCGCATCTTTTGAATTAACTGAGAGACTACCCTGCCCCAGGTTTAAATCAAAGGTTTCAATTTTGTGTTTAAAACAGAAAACTCCTACTTCTTTGGCTTGAAGGGGTTGACTAGGGATTATCTTCCTTATAACTCCAGTGTTTAGGATTTGAAAGAAACGCTTGTACATCGTCAGCAAGGTCTGTTCAAAAGCATACTATATGAGATTACGGTATTATTTGGTCATCCTCCCTCTAAAGGCTTGTAGCTTTTTATCAAGAGTTAAATATCATAAAGAAAACACAAGAATAGTGAAAACGAATGGATGAATTCAAGACAAACATATGCAATGCATTAATGAAATAGAGTTTGACATCAACATATAATTGTTCGAATAACAAAAGAAATTACAACTTGAAAATTCAAATGGAACAAAAGTCTCTCAGTTCAATCTCTATCATTTCAAATGGAAAACCTTAGGGGATTGGTAGAAGAATTCACTGTGACCGTCTTGTGCGAGTTCCAATGTTGCTTCATCAATCAGGTCTTGGATTTTGTTGCTCAACGCCCAACAGTTGTTAGTATCATGCCCCAGGCTGTTGGAGTGATATGCACACCTTTCATTGGGGTTGTACCTTGCTGGAGGCTATGTTGGGATTCTTAGGAGGGTCCATTAACGTCACCAGATTCAATCTCAACAGGTGCTGTAAATCCTGAGACCGCGACATGTTGATCTTAGTGAATTGTCTTTTAGGCGCGACCTCCTTACGCTGATGCCCCTGTCTTTGTTGAGCAGGCGTAAGATGTTGTTTGGCTTGTGACCCTGAAGCAAGTTGAGGGGTTTTTCCCTTGCCTTCTTGTCTCATAGGAGGTTGAATGATGATTTGATCTTCAGCCCCAGTTGTCTGCCCCACTTGGTTATCTCGAAGCAGTTTGTTGACGAGAACCCTGAGCTCTTCTTGTCTTTGAGCCAAGTCCTGGATGAGAGCCATCTGACTCACCAGTTTCTCCTTCAATATGGCTATCTCAATTTGTAGCTCCAACTGGCCATCTATGTCGTCCCCAGGATTTCCCACGATCATGCCCCTGGTGAGGAGCGTCTTGACCTCTTCTTGTCCCTTGGATAGGTTTAAGAACATCTCTTGAAGTTGAGCGTTTTGAGCCTGGATGTCCTTGATAGTCTGCTCTAGAGCCATCTCTACTAAAATAAACACTAGGAGAATAAGGAAACCTGAAAAGGAAAACCTGTTATGATACAATGCATGATATGTAGATGCATGTTTTCAAGAATCTCTCGGGGTAAACACAAGAAAATGTTAGAGGTTGAATTTTGATCAACATCTTTGATTGGAGAACTTTGTAATGGTGGATGTCTTTCCACGAGAATCAAGCTCACCATGTCGAGTGGGTCATAGCCCCTGATTCAAGTTGTTGCACTTGATCTTTGACGGCATTTGTTTAGAGGAAAATGAAACCTCTTACCCTTTGGTAGACGTCTGGTTCAACGTGACCCTGCATCAAAAGACCCTTAAGATCCTTGAAATGGTTATTGAAAATGCTATGGTATGATGTCATGATGTTATGTACATGTATGCAAAAGCAAGTAAGTGTATACACAGGTAATCATATTCACACAAAGCAAACAAGTCCTTAGGTTTAGGCTTGCATAGGGTTTGTCGGTAAGTACCCTCTTGAAGTTAGTTGGCTCATCATGTCCTAAAATAGAAACCGGGTTCTAAGGAGCTCAATATCACTGGATTATTTTCTATGTTCATTGTTTTGGTTTAGCCACTTAACTGGCGACCAAAATATTCCAAGAAAAGAATCCTCAATGAGTGTAGTATCGAGTATCTACCAACTTCGGACTGCACCAAAGTCGGTCATCTCACTACCCCTAAAAAGGCCAAGATGGTCAAGTAAGGTTCTAAGAGTTCGTTAGTGCTTCATGACATTGCTCAGCGGCCCCGTACTCTCCTTGACTACTCAAGGGCTACCTCTAACCACAAATATGTCACACTAACATAGCTACTCCTTCAACCATGTCGGTATACCCCCACAGTTCCCTCACAGTTTATTGTTATTTACCTAAAAAGGTGCCCCCAAATCCGGGTGTAGGATTTACAACAAACCCAAACAAGGAACCCAAAAAGTAAAGAAATCAAAGCAATCAAAGTAAGCAAGTAAAGGTGATCTAAAACCCTAAGGTAACCCCACTTTTAGAAATTATCCCCAGCAGAGTCGTCAGTTTTGTGATACGGTGGGAGAACTGACTTGGGATTTTGCGTTTTTCGTTCGCAAATGTTTCGGTTTAGAAAGAATCGCCACCGACTTTTTATTTTTATCCTAAGGAAAGGTCAAAAAGCATAGGAAAGACCTTTGAGATGTTTTCGTGGGTTCGGGGGGTGCAAATGGAAAAAAAAGGGGCGCAAAAAGCAAGTTGACTCAGGCCCAGCCCAAGTTAACTCTGTCTTCAACCTCCAGCACCTGTTTGAATCAAAAAACGCGCGTTTCCTTGCTCCATACAAACTCCTGATTCTTTGATTTTTAGCCAAAACTCATAACACAAAAATTGTAGAGCATGAAGTCACGATTTGAACCATATAAAACACTTGACCTAACTCTAAGAAACCAGGGAGAATTTCATCACCCCCAATTTCTGACCTAGCTTTTTTCAAATATTAATGGTTAAAATTCTCATAGCATGCTTAATATAAATGAAAAGTGAACACATGTATGGCTTCAGGGCTATGAGTAGAACATGTTTCATTCACAAACCTAAGCTTAATCATGCCTAGATAGAGAGATCGAATTCCATAGATTACCTGTTTCAGCTTGACTTGGATAGAGCAATGTAGAAACCTTCAATGGAGTTTGAGATTATGTTGAGCTTGCCTGAAGTCCAAGGATGCTTCCCAAATGCCCGGCTTGCTTTGAAACACTATGTATTGTGCTGTAGAAGTTCACCTATAACACTTGAAAATGAAAATGGCAAATGAGGTTAGAGGTGTTACAGCTGGTGTGTAAGGCTTGGAATAGTTTACATGGATGGTATGGAAGGTGTTTGAAAGGTTTTTAGCAGAAGTGCACGAGCAAACTGAGTTGTGGACTTCAATCTGCAGCAGGTGCCCTGTTTTTGCAGCAAGATGGTGTTTTGGTGTATTAGGAGGTGTGAGGGGTGGAAGGGTCGTGCCTTGGGTCAGTTGGGATGTATGGAAGATGAGTACAAAGTTTGTTCAGGCTTGTGTTTACAGGAAATGAAAGTTGTCTATCTTTTGCAAAGTTTCTTGTTTTTGAAGTAAGAAAGTTCAAGTTGCAATGCAGGCCTGTACAATCCCCTCAAGTATGCTGCAGCATTTTCTCTTGGTAAATGGAATTTGTGTACTCACTCTTGCCTCAAAGATCTGGCCTATGTCTCAAGGATTTGGAATTTGACATAAAGT